TTTCAATATTCATATGCAAACATGTTTCACTTTATGAATTTTAAAATAAATGTACATGTCTTATTAAGACGTGTTGATACCTGAAATTTTATGTATTGATATATGAAAATTAAACACTAAACCCAAACATATTTCTTTTATTTAGAGATGTGAAGGAAGTGTTCATAATAGATCTCAAGTAAGTAGAAGAATGGCAGACAGGTTAAGCTGCCAAAAACTTTTGATATTAAATGGATTTTTATTCTATTTTCAATATACCACTTTCACTTAGATCACTTTTTTACTATGCAAAAAGTAAGTAGAAAAGAGTATTTCCGGAATGACCATTTTTTTCAAACTATCTGCTCACACTCTCAACTTAAGTAATGGGCCCTGGCAGCTTCTGTGGAAAATGAAGAAAAAAAAAAAAACTAAGGAAAATCTCATTTTATCAAACAACGAAGTAGACCAAGTATGTCAAACACATGCATTTTTATTTCACTAAAGAGAACAGGTTCAACAGAGCATTAAAGAACATATTACCATAGAGAAAGTTCTATGCCAGCATATCAAATAAGAATACATCCACGTTACTTTTCTGATTTATGTGTCCCATAGCATACTTCTGCCAAAGTTGAGTCTCATGATAAGAGAGGCAGATTAATTCCAAAGGCATATGTCATCCTTCATCTTATCCCCCATTCTCTAACAATTATGAATGAGATAACAATGACCAAGGGATGAATAAATTTAGAGCTGTAAATACTTCAAGTCCAATCTTGAAATAAACAGTAAAACAAACCCAAATATATTCCCCAAATACAAAAATTACAATAGTCTACATTTACTTCATGATTGTTTCCCCTATTTCCAAGTAGTATCAAATTATAATTTCTCTCTCTAGCTGTTGTACTTTCTGTCCTTCGACTTCAGAGTCAGTTTTTATGAGCATTACAAACTTACAAATAACCTCTAATAATCTAATATTCAATCATTCGTTCATTCATTCATTCATTCATGGCTTGGCATAAAAAGCACCTGTGATTTCAAATCTCAATACCACATATTTTGAGTTAATGTGGAATAAGAATAAATCACTAGTCAGAATTATTATTAATGTGTTTCCCCATGAGGAAAGTCAGCATTATGAATCATGTAACAATATTTCAAAACCTAAATCCCATTAGATTCCTGGGGTACAATTCCCCAATGTTCACAAATAAAATTAAAACTTCACTGGCTGGATTTTTATTTCTTTAGACTTTAGTGTGGGAAAAGGTAATTTAAAAACATTTTAAACAGCTAAAATACTTCTCTGTCTCTGTGTCTCTCTGTATCTTTCTCTCTGTCTCTTCTGTGTGTATGTAAAAACCACAGTAAGTTTAATTGTTTTCATTAGAGAACCAAATATGAGAAAATCTTTATGATATGTCCCTTTTTACTGTTTCAAAAGTAATTACAATAACAATTTGTTCTTTCATATACAAAAGATCAGTAGGTTGAATGATTCGAATTGTGTATACAGAAGTAAGGATTTTTTTTTTTTTTTTTACTGATTCATTGACTTGCTCAGTCTTAGCAGAACTTTGTGACCCCAAACAGATTTACAAGTTCTAAGACTAAGTAAGGTTTTAAAAAAGGTACAGCATGTAGTCATGTTTTTCAGTAAACCTAACAGGTTAAGAAGGAGGTCAGAACTATGACATCTCTCCTGTCACATAAGTAAATTGCCATAGGTAAAAATTAGTCATGAGGGTGCTTCATCAGTGGAGCATCACTCTGAGAAAAAAATTCTTCTAAGATTTTCATTCCAGCCAATGCTAAATTCATTGGTTATCTGAAATGGTTAGGAAATGACTAGAAACAAGAAATTTTCAAACTTTCATCCTCTTTCACAGGTTATTTTAAGTGGGAAAAGATATGTAAGCTCTTTTGGATTGTGGTAAATCAGCATCCAAGAAGCAATTTGCAACTGACTCATCATCTCAGAGGCCAGGTAGACCAGAAATTTTAAAAAATGTAACACTTGATGTTCACTGTTAAGATGATTTCAGCAAGTGTTAAGTGAACTTCTGTTTAAAATATGTTAAATGTTATGCATTTCATTCCAAGAAGGGGAACTTCAAGTTACAAATGCTCATTGCCTACCTAGGAGAAGCTCAATGACAGGTATGGAAAGCATTGAAACATGAAGACGTACCTTGTTTTAGTCACTGTTTTAATGCTGTAAAGAGATACCATGACCAACTATTATAAGAGAAAGCATTTAATTAATAGTTTGCTTATCATTTAATAGGTTTATGGTAAGAAGCACGATAGAATTCAGGACATTAGAACATTAGCTGAGAGCTACATCCTGATTCATAGGCAGGAACAGTTAAAGTGGGCCTAATGTGGGCTTTTAAAACCTCAAAGCCCACCTATAAAGACAAACTTATTACAAAAAAAAGTACTCATCATAATCCTTTTCAAACATAGTTTATTTACTAATGGGGGATTTTCCTCTGTATGCTATGAATAAGTTTTATTACCATTGGTTAATGAAGATGCTACTTTGACCTATGGCAGGGAAGAATTTAGCAAGGTGGGAAATCCAAGCAGAGATAGAGGGGGAAAGAAAAGAAAAGAAAAAGAAAACCATGTAGCCACTGAAGGAGTAACATGCAGCACTGGTAAGCCACAGCCTCATGTCAATATTCACATTAATAGAAATGGGTCAATTTAAGATGTAAGAGCTAGCTAGAAATGTGCCTGATTCATTTGCTAAACAGAGCTGCAATTAATACAGTTTCTGTGTGATTATTCGGGTATAGGTGGCAGGAAAACAAAGTGCAGTATCCATTTACAGCTTGTTGATGACTAGGCATTCCAGGTTGTCCTGGTACTTTCTCCGTAGACCAGCTTGTCCAAGACCTGAGAGATCTACCTGCCCCTGCCTTCCAAGTATGGAGATTAAAGGTATATACCACCATACCTTTATGGTGGTGATGGCTATTATTTTTTGTCAATTAGATCACAATTGAATGAACTACAATCCAAAAATGGAGGGTACACCTGTGAGAGATTTTTTGTATTTGGCTCGAATTGAAGTAGGTGAATATACTTCATGTTCAGACCTTTGAGACAGGAATCCTTTAGTCTGGATTTTGAGGAATGAAGAAACACTTTTAATATGATACCTTGTGCTGAATTCCTATATAAGTACATGAAAGAAAGAAGCTTTTGCTCTTTACCAGCTTTCTATCATCTTGCTGCCAAGTCCATTCCTTCACTGGTCTTAGAACCTACTTCTTTCAAATTCCTAAGTCTACTAAAGACTATCTGAGACATCCTGCCTCATGGACTGAAAAACTACTGATTTTTGGGTTTTCTGTTCAGTCAGCCATTGTTGGATTAGCTGACTCATTCTAATAAATCCCCCCCCCTCTCTCTCTCTGTGTGTGTGTGTGTGTGTGTGTATGTATATATATATATATATATATATATATACACACATACATATGTATATATGTATGTATTGTATGTGTATTATTATATGTATCTATTTGGAAAGTGAAGAGGAAAAACAGTAAGGAAAAATCTCCTTTTATCAAACAACCAAGTAGACCAAATATGTCAAACACATGCATTTCATTTCACTAGAGAGAGAGAGAGACAGAGAGAGACAGAGAGAGGGATACGCATTCTGTAACTTCCTTTCTTGTCTCAAAATTATGCTTTATGCTTAATATTTAAGCATTTAGTTTGGAGAAGGTAAGTGGCCATCATATTAAACATAGAACTGCTGCCATAAACATGAAATTATTGCAAAAATTTCTTGAGTATGATTGTATACACAAACTATGGGGAAAGTTATGGAGACACTTAAAATCTTCTTCCTCAAAGAAACAAATATTAGAAGGAGCAGGTGATAGACATAAAGTACTTCATTATACCTAATTGATAGTGACAAGAACAGAAATAGGCAAAAAATAAGTATCTAAAATTTGAGCTTTGGTCTTGAGAAATCTCTCTGATATTAAATGTCTTCTCATTAGAATAGCAAAATGTGAGATTGATACTTATTGAACATACTAAAAAGAAAAAAAATAGCAATAAGTGTCAGATTTAAAAAACAAACAAATACCATGATTATTTGTGTGGCATGTGTGTATGTGTGATGCATCTGTGGAAAATGGAACAAAGCCTAACAGTCAAATGAAAGATATGAAGTTGATGTGAAATATAAAAACAAAATATAGCATATCAACACAGTGAATAAAAATAAAATATTAATATATACTACAGCATAGGTACATCTTCAAAGCATTTAGGTATGATCAGTAAAAGAGAAAAATCACTCATACTATAGAGTGGGTTATGGAGTGATGTCTTAAATAAAATGAAGAATTTTGTGGAGGAGAGGCCATTTATGAGATGGATTATTGTAATGACAGAATAGTTTTATGAATACATTTAACATATTAAAAGGATGAATTACATAAATGTATTTCAGTGAAACTCTGATTTTAAATTCTTTCTTTGGATCCTTTTAGTATAACGTACAAACAAATAGGTATTCTTTACCCCTGCAAAATGTTTCAAATCTACATTGTTTTCCCTTCTCAATCCCTCAAAGAGTTAAAGATTAATATGAAACTCACCTGAAGGATACAATGAACTGCTGATTTCTTGGACATTTAAGGCACTTTCCAGGAAAAAAAAAAGTTTTAACAAAAATTCAAAGAGATATAATCAGAAAAGACAGGAACGCGAATGAAAATTGCTTCCTTTTACAGCAAACTGTTCCTTACATAGGCCTTATGAATGCAAAAACAAAGTTTGCAGGCATGCCTCCTATTTGCATGAAAATAATCAACATCTTTGCAGTTAAAATCAGGCACTTTTCATGCCCCCGCCCCCCACCCAGTTTAGAACTCAAGTAGTTCCTGTGTTGATTCTAGTAACCAAGCTTGTTTCTATTTCGTCATTATTTTGCAACAATTCTCCTTACTTCTTCAAGACGGCAATGCCTTCGCCACTTGTGCCTCAGCCATTTTTTTACCAAAAGCCATGTCAACGCCATTCAACCTTTTTACCATGAATACAGCAAGCCTTGATGCAAGAAAGTACAATAAAAGACACCAGTTTTGTGAAGGAGTCAGAATCAATGCCACCAAAAGTGAACAGGATGCCAGTAAGATATTTATGGGGGGACTTTCCCCAGAATTGAGCAAGCAAGCACTTCTGGAATACTTGTCTCAGTTCGGTGAGATAATAGATTTTATCATAAAAATAGACCCAAATACCGGACTCTCTAGGGGATTTGGATTCGTGCTTTTTGAAGACAGTTCTCCTGTAGAGAAGGTGTTACGAGTGAAAGACCACAAAGTGGATGGCAAGAAAGTAGAGTTTAAAAGAGCTAAAGCCATTGAATATCAATTCCCCATCAAAAAGATTTTTGTTGGAGGGTTGAACCCTCAGATGTCTGAAGAAAAAATAAGATCCTACTTTGGCACATTTGGGCAGATAGAAGCTATTGAACTTCCAGTATGTTCAGATACAAAGAAAAGAAGAGCTTTTGGCTTTATCAAATACATGGAGGAAAAGCCTCTTAGAAAGGTCTTAGAAACCAGGTTCCATTTCATTGGCTCCAGCCGTTGTGAAGTTAAAATGGCACTCCCTAAAGGATATCCTGGACGACAACAACAGAGTAAAAATAAAGCTAGCACTGTGGTTAGGGGAAAAAAAGCTGTTCCAACCGATAGATTTGAAAACCACTGGGGAGGAAGAGACAACCAAAGCTTCCACTTTATGGCTAACTCAGATGCTCAAGAAGCCAATCTAGGTGCCCCAAAAGCTGGCACAAGTACTTTGAGAGCAAATTCAAATATCACTTTAGCAAGTTCCACTAGTTTCAGGAATACCGCCCGTGAATACCAGGTAAACCTCAGTGTTTTGGTGAGAAATTCAATGGCTTTGGAGGCAAGACAGAATGCTTTGGGACCAAATTCAGATTCCTTTGGGGTAAACAACTATACTCTGGGGTCAAACCCTAATCCTTCCTGGGAAAACCAGTATGCTCTTGGGGCAAGTCCAAATTCCTTCAGGACAAGCCAGTACATATTAGAACCATACCCAGATGTTTTGGGAGAAAGCCAATGTGCTTTGAGGGCAACCTCAAATGTCTTCTGGACAAACAAGTGTCCTTTGGAAACACACCCAATTGGTTTGGGGGTAAGCCAGTATACTTCGCTGGCAAGCCCTAATGTCATCAGTACAAACCAGTATCCTTTGGAAACACACTCAAATCGTTTTGGGGTAAGCCAATGGGCTTTGGGGACAACCCCAAATATCATCTGTACAAACCAGTGTCCTTTGGAAACACACCAAAATGGTTTTGAGGTAAGCCAGCATACTTCTGGGGCAACATCAAATGTGTTCTGGACAAACCAGTATCCTTTGGAAACAAACCCAAATGCTTTTGGGTTAAGCCAATGTGCTTTGGGGGCAAACCCAAATGCCTTTTGTACAAACCGCTGTCCTTTGGAAATACACCCAAATGGTTTTGGGGTAAGTCGGTATACTTCTGGGGAAACCCTTAATGTCTTCAGTACAAACCAGCATCCTTTGGAAACAATCCCAAATACTTTTAGGGTAAACCAATATGCTTCTAGAAAAAGCCCAAATGCTTTTGGGGCAAGCCAGTATACTCTGAGTTCAAACTCAGATACCTTCAGTCTAAACTACTATAGTTTTGTGACAAACCCATATGATTTTCATACAAGTCATTATGTTTTGGCAACTACCCCCAGTGTTTTCAGGACCAGCCCAAATGCTCTGGGTGCAAACACAAATGCCTTTGGGGCAAGTCATTATGATTTGCGAGCATCACATAATGTTTCTGATGCAAATCAAAATGCCTTTGGAGCAAATGTGAACTTTTGTGAAGCAAATGAAAGTGGCAGAAGCACTGAAGGACTTAATTTGTCTCAAGTAAACAACAATTTCTTGAATATCTACAATAACCAGCCCGCTTTTCATGGCTCTAATGGAGATTATTTCTTTCTATATAGCTATTGGGCTTATGACTTGGGATCTCTACTTAATTCCAATGAGCAAATAAACGAGTCTTCTCGCCTTGGTAATAGATACCAAGGAATTTATTCAACATTTGAAGCCTAAAGATGAAGCCTTTAGCCAAGCAATACTCAGTCCAACAATGAGGAGTTCAGAGACTTACATGAAGTGGTCCTACAACTGCTTGTTTGGACATTGTCGCTACTTGCAGCACCTTTTGAAGTAGCAAAACATTTTTCATCACCTTTATGCTGTGAAGCTACAAGAAGAAAAAGACTGGAGACTATCTTGTAGAATTTTTTTTTCTGAAAAATAAATATTTTAAATATTTCTTTTTGAGTGGCTTCTATTTTGAACTGGCATTTTCTTTGTGTTCTCTTTGTTGTGGTGCAGTGGGAGGAAGTCATATCACTTGGTCCCTTCCCTTATTTTTCTATGTTGATATGTTTGGCTTGCAGGTACCCATACATACAATCACTGATCTTTATTCCAGCTCTCTTTTTAATTTTATTTTGAGTCAGATGGTCATGTCATTTAAATTTTCTAGTTAACATAATATTTTAAAGAGAATGCACTTTAATGTTAAATGATATTTAAAAATATAATCAAATTTTTTTCAACATGTAATCAAGATAATTACTGAGACTTTTTTTATATCATTCTTGGCATTCTTGGAATATAGAATATTTACTTTATTGGAACATCTCAGCTCTAATTAGTTTTGTTTAAAAGCCTCAGATTATGTGGCTACTGTCTGTCATATAGAACAGTGCAGACTGAAAATAGACCTACATTATTTACTGAGAGTATTTTATCTTTAAGGCATTAAGGAGAATTTTGGAAAAAAAATTAAAAGAGAATGATACAGGACATCAAAGGTCTGGTATATACCCAACTGAATGCACAGAGCTCATTAATAACATGGTGAAATCAATTTCTATCTTCAGATAATTCCTGATTAAAAAGGAAAGACAAGTATAAAACTGAAATTTTGACAGCTTTATAATACAGGAAAAATTTTAGAGGGGTCACTGAAATTACTCAGTACCTGTGTATTTATTAAAATGTAAATATCTGAAAGCAAAAGGTGACTTCCTCATTGTTTTTCTATTATTCTTAATATCTAAAATGATTCTTACTCATAGTATAAGCTTCAAAGAATTATTAATGACACAAGAATAAAATTAACATGTATATGTTGTTCACAACAACATAAAATACAAGAAAGCTTACTAGAAGCACATGAAAAGGATGATATTTTCAAATTTACCTGAAATGTTTGTTTGAATATTTGAACAAATTTTGTAACTTCCATGGAAGAATTTAAATATATAACATTTAAATATATTTTATTAAAATATGAAGACTAAATATGACACTATTTTTAAAACAAAATTACTATATAGAACTTAAGATATGCTACATAGATTCTGCCTACAAATAATAGTTTGATGTTCATTGCTTTTTAGAACTAAAGTATACTGAATCTTGGGTTGAAAGCACCAGGTGTTACATCTACAAAATTAATTTAAATACTTCTCTAACTGATGTTTTCTATTTAGGAAACTATAAACTCATCATACTATGTTGTTATAAAACAAAGTGTAAATTCTCAGGAAAGCTAACATTAGAATTCATAAAACTAAAAACATTATACAATAGTAAATGTGGTTAACATCATGAAAATGTCTGCAAGTTCAACTTTGGGACAAAAAAACAAACATCCAGATGTATCCTTCATAAAGTGTTCAGGAGAATTCAGCTTCCATTCACAGGAGTTAACTAGTTAAGGGCAGGTGACTTGCTATTATTAAGAACACCTGTTTCTATTTCCCCTGAAATTAAACTTGTCTATTGAGATGAAATATAGCAGTATCTATACTGTTTGATGTAAAGAATTCAACCAAATAAAATTTCACTAAGTTCAGAGTCACTGCAGCAGATGTTTTGATATTTCATTTAGCCCTGTGATGCTTTTTTAGTTTCAGAAACTACACAAGTTTTTATTTTTCTGGTTCCAGCTGGTTCATTGGTTGATTTAAATTAAAACATACATACACACACACACACACACACACACACACACACACACACACGCACGCACGCACACACACACACACACACACACACACACACCAGTAGAAAAAAAGTTGGGTCAGTTTTGATTTTCATATTTTGTATATATTCAGAAAAATTACTTTAAACTAATCTCTATTTTGGCAGTTATGATTAATTCAAAATTCTTCTTATACCTATACATTTTAGCTGTTAGAAATTAGGTTAAATGATGCTATCAGAAGTTGCCAAAACAACTATTTTTTTTATATCAGTCCAATAAATTTTCATACTATTTATATATAGGTATCTAAGATAACTGTTTATATATAGGTTTGATAGGTTTGATGTGAGATTTTTCTCTGTATGTTATAATTACCATTAATGAATAAAGAAACTGCTTTGGACCTATAGCAGGACAGAACTTAGGTAGGCAGCGAAGACAGAATTGAATGCTGCGAGAAAGAAAGGCAGAGCCAGAGAAACGTCATGGAGCTGCCTCTGGAAACAGACATGCTGAAACTTTGCTGGTAGGCCACAACTGCGTGGTGATGCACAGATTAATGGAGATGGGTTAAATTAAAATGTAAGAGTTAGCAAATAATAACCTGAAGCTCATGGGCCAAACAGTGGTTCAAATAATATGGTTTCTGTGTGATTATTTTGGGGCTGAGCAGCTGGGAACAAACAAGCAGCATTCCTTCTACATAGGTATATGACATATATAGATATTCACATACACCTGATTAGATGCTATCTAAGAAAACATGTGAAACCCATATTTTAGAAATTTATTACTTTCTTTAAGAAAATAAAGGCTGAATCAAACATATTACATTCTCCTAAGTTCTGGGTTGATAATAGAAATTTGCATGTCATAAATATATTGTAATAGTCATTAATACTGAAGTGGCTAAGTTTAAAGTTTGAACCTTTTAAATGCTTCATTCAGAATATTAGCCATTAGTCAAACCTATACTTGTAAGATGTTGTCTATTAATCAACATCCATACCTTCATATTTAGATAAAGTATATGCCTAAGAAGAACCTCAACTCAATTAGAAACGTAGAATTACAAGGAAAGTTTAACAATGCTCAGATAGTATGGAGAAATGTGTGAAAAGTTTCCGATTCATACCATTTTGTAGATGAGTAGCATTTCTTTCAGCTAATACACTATGTTACGTGAGGTATGCAATTTTTAAGAAAATGGACCTTAGGAGGAAGTTGAATTTAGAAAATAAATTACTAATTATGAGAAAAATATATTGAATCTAAATTAGGTCCTTTTGCTGTTAATACACTAGATTCCACAGTTCACATTCTTAAAAGCTCCGTGGTAAACCTTCCTAACTCTGTTCTGAGAATTAGCCATGAAAGACACAGTAGATTCCTTAATTTTATATTAATTGCAACAGTTTGACTTGATCCAGATCTTTGTTAGTGATACAAAGCTTTCGTACATCATTTTTGCAGTGAAAAATCTGAATATATGTTATGAATAATGACTTCCACCTCTATACATATGTCCTAAACAAAATCCAAAGATCCTACTGTGGAAATTCTGATATGCTAGATAATATTTGATCTGGTACTAACTGACTGCTTACACTGAGAAAAGTTCTTTTACCAATACAGTCACTGTAATGCTATGGTAACAACTGATATTAAACAATAATGACTAATAATTGTCAATCATGACCTCTTAATTACATTTCTCCACAAGCTGAAATATTCATCACATGCAGAAATGTGCAAAACCAGGGACTTCTGTAATTAAGTATTGACGTTGCCGACTCTGGTCTCTGCCATAAAGCTACATATTGCATTGGTCTGCAGAAGAACTGTGATATAAAATATGTTAAAGGAACTCTGTAAATGCAAATATAACAAAAATACAATTGACTTTTATGGATTTAAAGTCTTAAATGTATGTAAAAGCTTCATAATATACTAGACACAGACTCTAAAAATGGCAAAATGGTTCCCTAAGGGAAATCAGAATGATATTTCACAATACCATTTTTAACAGCCCACACTGTTCTTTGTTACTCCCTGATTTGCTTGGGGGAAGGGTTCTCACAGAAATGCTAAAAAGGCTCCTAAAATTTAAAACCATAAGATATTGCTTAAAGGGGGAAAATACATGGTAGCTGTCTACAAGTCTCCTGCTGAAATTCACTTTTGTACTTCTATTTATACAGTCACATGAACACATAGAGATTTTATCTCATCCACTAAAGCCTTTAATAAAAGATTCATTTGCAGAAATAAATAACACCCCACCCAAATATTTATAGATTACTGGAAGGTCAACATCTATGGGAAAACTAATCAGCTAATAGCTATCCTGACTCCCTAGGTAGATGATTTATTTCAGCCATTCAGGGAAAAAGAGAAAGTTTTGACTAATTTTCTTAGCCCTTAGAGGCAATTGGGAACAATAGTGAAATCTGATTGCAATATACTTATATAAATTGATAGACCTAGCTGAATATTTCTCCCAGTTTTGTAATAAAACTATTAATAAAAATAATAGCAGACATTATTATCCAGAGGTATGAGGTATTTTATTTAGTTTAAATCCCACAGTGGCTATTTTTAAAGCTGATCATTGCTTCTATCACATAAATGGGAGACCCCAGGTTTAAGTTATTTGTGCACAGAAACACAGTGTTTCAGTCAGTCAGTGATAGATTCGGGCTCTGAATGAAACTCAGTTTCCCTGAGGCCTGTTTGATTTTTTACTGTATGATACTGCCCCTCCCCAAGCATGGCATCATGTGAAAAGTAAGTAAAAAGAGAATTTCTGCATTCTTCTGAAAAAAGAGTGTTCAGGTAAAGATAGTAATATCAGAAACACGCAGATGCAACAGAAAGGGCCTAAAACCTGAGGTTCAGTAGTAGTGGTAACAACCATAAAAATGAATTGCACAAGAAAAGACTATTTTGAAAGGTAGATAAAGAGATATATTTTTAAATTCATGGTTGTACAGTGACAATTCAATTTCCTATGAAAAAAAGCATTAACTTTTGAAGAAATGCATGCTATATCTGAGGCAATATTTTGACTGTGCAACTAGCCAGAATGTAGAATAGAAACTACTGTATTTGCACAGGAGATAAAAGGGACACAATACAAAATTAGGTTTCAGGAAATTAAAACATAGTTTTCC